ATTCTATGATTCCATGATTCCATGAACATTAGTTAAGCAGAGGGGAAATTAATGATTTCCCAGAGCCTGCTCTGTAGCAGCTGCAGGAACAGACTGTCACATCAATAGGAGGGAGCTTTGGGATGGTGACAGAGCCTGAGTGGGTCTTACTGGGATGGAGTTGATTGAGAAGCAGCCAGGAAAACAATGTGTTTCTAAGGTAGATGAAGTGGAGAGTGGTAAGCCGGGTCAGAAAGGTGGAATTGTGCTGAGGAAAGTGCTCTCCAACACAATTCGAGAAACAGGAAAACTCTTTATCTTGTTGTGCCCTGCACAAAAGTATTCTGGGAGTTAATCTGAAAAGGGGAGTGGGTGGCAGGAGGAGGAGGAATGGTTTATTTCCCTTTCAAAATGTGTATCTCAACATCCTGCTCTGGGCCAGAGGGATGGATTTGCAGTTGCAGTGGTGTCCAGGAGAACAGGAGGGGTTTGGGGGCTTTTGTGGAACAGAACTGATGCACTGGAGCCCCAAGTAGCTTTTGAGATGGAGATTTACTCAATGTTTTAGACTTGTAAGGTCAGATTATTTCCTTCTGGCCTGAAAACTCCTTTGCATAACCTCAGGAGAGTGGGATTTTGTCTGCTTTGGAGGTATTTTTGACAGTTCACTCAGGCATCTTCCCAGCCCAGGCTCCAGAGTCCTGACTTGCACCGTGAGCCCCTGTAGTGAATATTTAGGTGCTGGCAAAGCCCCTGTGACCTTCCTTGAGTCTTTTCCCAGCTTGAGCCTGGAGCACTGGGTGGGAACCTCAGTTTTAGGGCTCTGTGCACACCTGGCCTGACAGCAGAAGTGTCTGATCAATGGCTCCACTGCTCGTTATCAGTCGCAGTGATTAACTCTGATTAACTGATGCTAGTGCACCTCCTAGTCATGAGGAAGGATTAATTCAGCTTTCTCCCAAACTAAACCAAGCTCAGCTCTATCCATAGCATGAGGAGTCCAAAACTTGCATTCACTTTGCAGGCAATTAATGATCCTTTCCTGATTTAGAAACCTCCTGGTGTTCTTCCATAAGTCTGGGCTCCAACTCGCTGCCTTCTTGCAGTGCAGATTTCTCTTCAAACCTTACATTTAAACCACCTGGTCCTGTGCCAGCAGGAGGTGTGTTTGCAGGGCTGGGTGGTTGGTGCTAGAAGAGTGTAAAATCCAGGATGTGCCGCAGGGATGAGCACGGCAGACGCTTCCGACTGGGAAGGCTGTGCAGCCCTGGGCGACGGTGACGCCGTGGAAATGGGGTAACTGTGCCACCAGAATTCCTGCCTTCCCCCTCTGCCCAAACTCTCACTGCCAGTTCCTAGAGCTTCCACAGAATCACTGCATTGTCAAGGTTGGAAAAGCCCTCCAAGATCGAGTCCAACCACCAACCCAGCACCTCCATGTTCACCACTAACCCACGTCCCCAAGGGCCACATCCACATGATTTCTGAACACTTCCAGGGGTGGTGGCTCCACCACTGCCCTGGGCAGCCTGACCACCCTTTCAGTGAAGAAATGTTTCCTAATATCCAACCTAAACCTCCCTTGGTGCAACTGGAGGCTGTTTGCTCTTGTCCTGCCCCTTCTTACCTGGGAGAAGAGAATGACCCTCACCTTGATTTTCCTGTGAAATACAGCTGAACAGGCAGGGTGGGCATGGGTGACTGGGCTGAATCACAGCCCAGATGTCTGCACTGTCTGCACCCTGTTACCTGCCCTTCTCCTGCCTCCATCTCCTCCAGGCACACTTGGAATAACTCTTTTCCTTCAATCCCTGTCAGAGAGCTCCTAACCCAAGGGCTGATTCCTGCCTGCTTCCTCCTCCTCCCTGCCCAAGCTAACCCAGCCCCCTCCACACAGTCCCAGTCCTCTCCCAGGTCCCTTGGCTTCCTTGTCATCATCATCCAGCTGTCCTGCTCCTTCTCATGCCCTTCTGCTGGGTGGAGGGAGGAAAATAAAGGTGCTTGGAAGGCTGAAGGATGATTTTCCCCCGTTGGCTTGCAGCTCTCCCCGGCTGCCCTGAATTTGGCAGCCCTGCACAGTGAGGGCTGTGGGTCAGTCCTGGAAGGTTGGGTCTCTTGTCGATGGAGGGATGTGATTTACACTGACTTTTCCCTCAGATGGATGGACAAGTCTCTTTTAAAAGAAAACAGTGCCTTTTTGTGGCAGGATGTCTGGTGTCTGTGATATAAAACCCCATGGAAATTTCAGGCCAGTTCTTAGCTCCGATCCCAAACTGATGTTCCTGCGACGTTGCCATGACTGCGACAGTGACTCATCCCATTATGGTTTGCAGCTTTCTTGTTGTACAAAGTCACCAGGGAAATAATTTTCCCTATCTATACATCCCAAGGCTGTAAGGTTTGCTCCAGCAAACAAGACAAATAATATTTCCCGGTAATAGGAGCAGCCAACTGGAAAATGAGACCAATAGGTTCTATTCTTAGTTCCATCATTAACCTTGGACATATTTTGTAACTTAGCTGGAGCTCTCCTTAGCTGCCTGTAAAGCAGAAAAAGTTATAAATACAGGAGATGGTTTTAGTAAGTAATTAAAATTCTGATGCTGGAGTGCTTCTGAAGTGTAAAACGTTCATAGCACCTCCCAAAACTGCTGAGGGAAGGTCCTGCTGGGCTGGGGCAGGTTTGGGTGAATGCATGTGAGCTGGGTGTAGTGAAGGTGTTTGGGGCAGGTCATGTGCCTTAGGAAGGATAATCAGTCTCATTTCTGTTAAGGATTCCCTCATTTCCTCCCTGCTCCCCACAGCTGGGGCAGTTTTCCGTAGCTCCACCAGCGCCGTTCTGAATCCCAGAACCACAGATCTTGGAGGTGTTGGAGTGGTAACGAGTCGTGTGGTTGGGTGATTGTCAGCTTCTGCTGTATTTTGGACAAATGGAAGCGTTTTATATCCTGTCTGAGGTCCCAGGATGAGGAAGGAGGAGGCTGAGAGCTTGTCTGCCATCAGGAGCCACCGTCATTCCAACATCCCTCGGTGGTGGCAGCGGGTTGAGCTGCATCGGTGCTCTTGGTGCAGCTGCTGTGGGCACTGTGTGTCTGCCCTTGGGGCAAGTAAGAGGGGCTCTAAAGAACTTTAAATTGGGTCACTGAAGAGATTGTTCATGTGGCATCTCCAGGAGCTTGCAGCCACGGGACAGAACGGGCACACGTTGCCCAGAGAAGTTGAGGCTGCCCCATCCTTGAAAACGTTCAAGGCCAGGTTGGCTCTGAGCAACCTGATCCAGGTGAAGATGTCTCTGCTCACTGCACAGGGGTTGGACTAGATGGGCTTTAAAGGTCCCCTCACCCCCAGCCATTCTATTAAATCCCTGAAATAACCTTGTTTAGCTCTTACTCTGTGCTCACCCTGTGTTGGAAGGCTCCTGTTTGTTCTTTTTCCTCAGTGAACAGACACTTAAAATATATTGGTGCTTCATGTCAGAGTTTCATAGGTCAGGGCAGTTTATTGCTGTAGATTTTGTTTCTTAAAACAGGTCATATAAATGGTTCTGATGGACAGGCTGACCTGTCTTGATGCCTACATGGCCCTCTCTGTGAAAGATGCCTCCTGAAGTGCCTGTTCCTGTGGGAACAGTGTGTCTGTCAGGGCCAGGATCCCAGGTTCCATGTGCTGCTGCTTGTTTCTCTTGTTAAGAATTTGGGGAAATTTTGTTCTAATAGTTTTGGTTTGGTTTTTTTATGTCCTCCTGAGTTATTTCAACTTTGAATTATTTGTCTGGGGGAGAGTATCTAATGATTGCCCTATTCTTAATATATTTAAATAACTCTATTATTTGGTAGAACATCTGTGTAGAGCTTTCAGAATAAATGCTGCATTTCCAAGTCTGTCAGTTCTTGCTATTGCAATGATTAGTCTTCTGCTACCCCACTTGTCAGGAATTATTGATTGTTCATGCTGGAGAGAGGCTTGACAGTTTGGAGGTACACTTGGCTATTGGAATATTGGTTTATATTGATGTAAGTCCTTTGGCAAAACAGCTGGGAAAACATCTGTCCCTTCAAAGGTACAAGGCAAACATAATTCAAGGAGGAAAACAATTTCTTAGGCAGCTTGTTCCGATTCTGCAGATGTTTAGGGAGTGCATTTATCACTTTTTTTTCAAGATGTTTTAAATTGGTTACTGTAAACCATTCACTGGAGGTCAGATGGAACCTGAGGGGATCTGTTGGAGCACAGGTTTGAACCTTTTGGAGCCTTTAGCACCTACAAAAGGTGTAGGGGCACAACAGCCTCTGAGGGGTGAGAGTGACTGAGAGGTGCAGGTGCCCTCTGAGAGAGAAATGAGGAGAACCTGAGATGCAATTGGACATGTTTCCCCAAATAATCAGATTTTCCTCTTTTGTTTCTAAAGCAAGTTAAACATTGCCTTTTGTGGGGTTGTTTTGTTTTCTTGTTTTTCCAAAATAAAGTAAAATAGGGTAAAAGAAATCAAGACAAATGATCAGTCGCTGGCTGTTACAGCCAGGAAAGAAGTTATGGCTCTAAACCCTTGTCTCTGTGAGGTTCAACTTGAGAGAGCATCTTAAAGTTTGGAAGTCTGGGTGTGTGGATGCTCTGTTTCAGTACATTCTGCCTGAATGTTTGTTTATTTTTATTTTCTCTCTCTCTCCCATTGCCAGGTTGTGACTCGACTTATTCACTTGCTGGGAGAGAAGATCCTTGGCAGTTTGCAGCAGGGAGGTAAGACTCATTCCTGGACTACTTGGGCTTCCTTGGAGCCAGACTTACATTCTTAAATCTGGAAACAGCACATACTTGGAAAGAGAATTTGTCATTAAATTTTGGCTTGGAGAAGAGAAGGCTCCAGGGAGAACTTAGAGCCCCTTCTAGTGCCTGACTGGGCTCCAGGAGAGCTGGAGAGGGACTTGGGACAAGGGATGGAGGGACAGGACAAGGGGGAATGGCTTCCCACTGCCAGAGGGCAGGGTTAGATGGGATATTGGGAAGAAATTGTTCCCTGTGAGGGTGGGGAGGCCCTGGCACAGGTTGCCCAGAGAAGCTGTGGCTGCCCCATCCCTGGAAGTGTCCAAGGCCAGGTTGGACAGGGCTTGGAGCAACCTGGGCTGGTGGAAGGTGTCCCTGCCCATGGCAGGGGGTGGAATGAAATGAGCTTTAAGGTCCCTCCCAACCCAAACCATCCTGTGATCTGTAATAGCTTTTGGCACAAGTGGATGGTGATTTTATTATGTGTACACATTTTTTTGGCAGAGCATGGTTAACTAAGTGTGGGAATGGAGGGATCTGCAGTTGAGATAGAAAAGTGCTGCTGCCTGTGTGCAGTGAAATTTCCTGGGCATTTCTTGCAAGAGCAGTGCAAAGGGAACCTTGGAAATAGCAGCTGTAGTGGGCTGGAATCAGAGAGCTGTGCTCAGTGGCATCTGCACAGAGACTGACTTAATATGTCTGTATTTGCATTATTTTAATGAATTGTCTGGGAGGAAAGGGTCTGCTATGGGTTGGTTCTGAAGCTTTGTGTTTGTGGCAGCACCAACTCAAAGTCTATTTACTGATTGAAGGGAGTAGGAGGAAATTTTCCCAATTTGCTTCAGCAGCTTTTAAAAGAAGAGACACATGTTGACTACTGAGGGCGTTGTGGGGTTCTTTGCTCTTGAGGATTGTTTGGGTTTTCTTTGGTTGTGGGGGTTTAATTACTTTTATTATTTTATTGCTTTTGTATTTTTTGCAATATTCCAAGGAGACTGAAAATTGGGTCACCAACTCTCCTGTTTCGGAGCAGTTTTGAGGAGGGAATCTCAAATTCTGCTCTTTCTTCACATACTCAGCTTTCTGGGCACAACCAGCTGTGTACAAATGCCTGGTGACAACTGTGCTTAAACCTCAGTGGCCTTGGGCAGAGTCTGCACTGTTTGGGAAACAGGGCAGAATAGGGAAAACAGAGAAAACTGGAGGGAAATTAGTGACAGTTACAGGAGTTCAGAGAATCACCACTGAAGATCTGAGGAGGGAAGGGCTGGTGGAGATGAAGGGGTTGAGCTGTGATGTGTAACTTGTTTGAACCTACACATATCTTCTTGAAGATCACCAAAAAGAATTGGAAAAACTATTTCATGTTCTGTGCAGAGCTGTTTGAGAAGACTTGAAATGAATAACTCAATTGCTGAATATACTTGAAAAAAAAGTTTATCTGAGTTTTTTTGTGTCCTGCAGTGCACTGTCACCCTGGCAGAGAGCCTTTGAATGGCTTTTCACAGGGTATATCAAGTATTTCCATATGCCCAGCTCAAGAATTCATCTTAATGGTACATCTTAGGCCTTTGCTGGGCGAAATGAGATAAACAGGACATGAAATCCCAACTTGGATGTCAGAATTTATTGTGTACTTGGAGCTGAGTTGACAGGCATTAGCAGCAGAGTAAGAGTGTCTGAGAAGGCTCAGTTAAGGAGGAAGGAAAGAGTATGAGAATAAAACCAGTTTGAAGAACATCCCCATCATTTTTCTGATCTGAGCTATTGGGGAAGATCTTGATCTTTGTAACACTCATTGCACACTTCTACCAAAAACTGCTTTACTCTGCCCAGATCTCTGTCCTTACTCATCCTACCAAATTATACTGGAGATACTTCCCAGTTACTCTGCAGCTACTTGAGAGCTTCCATATTTCAGTTTAATGCTCCCAAGCCCATATCTGCAAAGCTCTGCAAAAGAAATAAAACTAGGTGGAGATAAACATCCTCTATAAGAACTTCGTTGGAAACAAGTATTTATTTCCTTGCTCAAGAATGCCATAAAAATAAATGCTAATTTTTGGAGTATTTTAATACTTAAAACAGATTTTGGAGTTTCTGTTAGTTAAGCTGATTCTTCTTGTGGGCTAAATCAGGGCCTGTTCCAAAGTTGTGGCTGTTCAAAGAGATTCAATAGTGTTTTTTATCCTTGTCTTCCCAGGTCAGGTAAATGCATGTTCCATTTAACTTATTCCTGGCATCCAGATATTCTTAACATTGCCTAAGTCCTCCTCACAAATGTTATGTCAGCAGCTAAAAATGATGGAAACTGATCTTTATCCTCTTAAAATGCAATATGTGGGAACTCTCCCGTGGAGGATGTTCCATTTCTCTGGGGTCGAGCAATTGGGTGGCACTTTCCTTCCTGCCTGAAGGTGACATTTCGTTGTTCACAGCCAGGCTGTGGCTTTCTGGGCTGACTGATGGCAAGTGCTTTCCTTCCTGACAGGTCACCCTCTTGGATTACACAGCTCCAGCAGCAAGTGGGACGCTGGGAATCCTGCCAGCAACCTGTCCACGGTGGCGATCATGCCGGTGTCCGAGGAGGTGCCGCTGACGGCCTTCACCCTGGAGCTCAAACATGCCCTCAGTGCTGTGGGTGAGTGTTTCCATCCTGCTCCATCACAGGAAAGAAATCCTGCTTGTCTCTTTAGGAAGGTGTGGCCTGTCAGGAGTCACAGGTGGGTTCCTGCTGCTTTAGGGGGGTAGTGATACATGAAACGATCAGAGGGTTTGAGAGGTTTTGGAGAGACCCCATTGCAGCCTTACAGGGCTTTAAGGGGGATAATAAAAAGGAGGGAGGAGGACTTTTTATACAGGTAGATAGTGACAGGACAAGGGGGAATGGCTTCCCACTGCCAGAGGGCAGGGCTAGATGGGATATTGGGAAGAAATTCCTCCCTGTGAGGGTGGTGAGACCCTGGCACAGGTTGCCCAGAGAAGCTGTGGCTGCCCCATCCCTGGAAGTGTCCAGGGCCAGGTTGGATGGGGCTCTGAGTATCCTGACTAGTAAGTGGCATCTCTGCCCATGGCAGGTGTGTTGGACTAGATAATCTTTAAGGTCCCTTCCAACCCAAAGCATTCTGTGTTCAGGATCAGCCTGTTTCATGACTTCTTGCTTCTCTGTTCCCACCCCTAGAGTGCATTTACTTTTAGTGGAAAACTTTGTGGTCTTAATGACTCACAAATACTCTCCAGCCTGTCTGGCCCAGCTCCTTGTCTGCCCTGAGCACTCCCAAGGCTGCAGGGACTTCAGGAGACACATCCCACACTAGGGCAGTGTTCCCACAGCACCTGCCTGAGAGTCTCATTCTCTCCAGCTCAGTGTGAGAGTCTTTCAGGCCCCTTCAGCTGTAAAGGTTCCTCCAGCAAAGGGTTTCTTACCCAGTCTTCCCCTGTGGAGGTAGCACAGTGAGTGGTAAGCATAAGCCTTGATGGAAGAGGCTTGTGGAAGAGATCCAGATTGGCACTGGAAGTCCAAAGTTTAGTCTGAAATCATTCTCATTTGCTGTCAGCTTGTTTGTCTGTCTCATGCTCACAGACCCATGTATTCAGCTCACAGCTGAGTCATTAATTCCTTTATCCATCGATGAAACTGCTCGTGCGAGTTCCAGTTGCTCACAAAACCACGTATTTAATTCAGAATTCAGTTTGCACTTATTAATAACAGTTTGACATTCCCTGAACATCCTCTTCTCATCCTCATACACTGTCACAAATCTCTTGAGTGAATCTCCTGTAGTCCTTTGATGAATTGTTAGTTTGCTCTCTCGTGGCATATGATTTTTAAAAGTACATGTTAGGTGATGCTTGAGGTGCAACCACATGCATTTGTTGGTTGTTTCCATTTTGGCCTCAGTGGTGTCTGGGGCTGGCACTCCTTATTCTGCTTAAAAACCTTCTGGGTGAGCAGGCACAGGAGGAAGCTGGTGGTGTTTGAACTCTTTAACCTTCTGAAATCTGAGTTTGTGTGCAACTTGTGGCAGACAGTTCCTCTTATTTTGAGATGGCAGAAAAATGTTGTATCCATAAGAGAGCCCGGGTCTCTAGTCAGAGCTGTGTTGCTAATGGGGACTCCTTAGGGATCATTGCCAGCTTGTTTTGATGTGTGTCAGCACAGAAATAAAACAAACAGAAACCGAAGTAGGTATTCAGAGTGAAAACAGCCGTTTGAGCTGACAGCAGCAGGGCTGTGCCAGAGGGGGTTGGTGGCATCCCTGGGCCCTTCCTCCTTCACCCTCCTTCCCTTTCCCTCTCCCGGGCTGACTGTGCCTGGCAGCTCTGCTGGTGCTGGACACCCTTGGCATCTGCAGTTCTGCCGAGGCAGAGCAGGAGCAGTGGGGAGAGGAAAGTGTTGTGGGGAAACAGAGCCCCGGCCCCGAGCTCCGTGTCCTGCGGGTCAGAGGGGCAGCTGTGCAGTGTGCTGGGGGGCTGGGCAGCTTGCTTTGCTTAGCTCTTATTTAGATGCTTACACTCTTTTTTTCTCTTTTTTCTTTTTTTTTTCTTTTTTTTTTCTTTTTCCTCTTTTTCCTCTTTTTCCTCTTCTTTTTCCTCTT